GAGCTAAGGGCTGGTGAAGTTATCGTAGAGGGGTTAGGAGTGGCGTAAGGTCGGTTTTCCGGAGTAACAGCTTTAATATGTGGGAGATTAGGGCTATTACTAATGCGAAAGAGGAAGCATATACCAGCTTTGAATCGCTCCTTAAACTGGTGAGCTTGACTGGTTATGGGGCAACGCAGCTAACCAACAGAAGAATAATTGATTTGAAACAGTAAAATGTGGAAGTAAATTATATTGAGTGCCAAAAACAGTGAAATAATAAGCAAATAACTTTTCAGCTATGATATCTCGGAAAGAGGACAAAACTTTTATCACAAGCAAGTAGAAAATTTCCCAGGTAAAAGGACATGCCAAACTGATTTATGCGAAAACTGCATGCAGTCCTTCGTTTAACTTGTTGATTGCATTGTTCAAAGTAGTTTTTCGTGGGAATTAGGAATAACTGCTAACCATGGTGTATAATCTGCTTTTGCGGACGTCCAGTCTAAAAGTAATGCGACGATTATTGGTTCTTTGCATGTGTCAGGGCAGTCATCGTATTATATACTTATTTGGTAAGGAAGACGAAGCCAACGTCTCCTTGTTTTTGTGTTAAGCTGCATTTAAGAAGAAGACGCTACTGATACCCATCTTCTCTATGAAGCCATTTCTACTGAGGACCACAATGACCATTTGGTAGCGGATCAGATCGTGAACAACCAGAAATGTTCTTCTTTCCGGTCAGTTTTCCATTCGCCAATCTAACATCGAACGAGCCTTACAGGCTTCCAAATTTTGCAGCGTCACTACGGCAGTCTATATGAAGACATGAGAAGCAAAAAAGTAGCCGCGATCTGCGATTTTTCTATAACGGCATTATTTTCTTCTAAAATAAATACCAGCCTTCCGAATATGTTTTTTGCATTGATTCAGTTTTCAGTTAATTCCGTATGTATAAGGGAAACAGACAGAGCCTATTTACAAATAGATTCTCTCAAATCATGCGTATGTTTGATCAAGAATCTTGAGCATCTGAATTACGAAGTTGAGGCAACTGAAGTTTATCTGTTTCCTCCCAATTACAGGCAACTGGGCTCTGACCTCAGTCAAACCTAGCGGATTCTCAGAGGCCGTGAGTGTGCTCCACGTTTTGATGACATCTTCGGATAAGCTAATACGAACTATCTGCAGAGCCATCTTTTGAACTAAGAAGGAATTTCGTCCATAAATACGTCTAATGGAACGCCTTCGCTTGATAAACCGACAGGGTTTCACCAATCTGAGTTAAAGAAGAACCAGGTTTTGCAGTCATTGCGTTTAGCTTGCGAGGGAAAAAGCATAACAGCACGATGCCAACTTCTTTCACGTTTAGGACGACTGGAGACGATCAGGGGAAGAAAAGCGGCGCAATAGTCTTTCGGTCGAGCACGTCATTTAATAGATGAAATGCTCGCCTTTAGCTGTGTCTGGTAGAACACGGGTTGTTGTCGAGGCGGGATCTTTGTTGGTCGGCCCCTGGTATGCAATCCCGAACTATATCGAGACAAATACTCATCTTATGTGTTAATGAAACGTTATTAAAAAATAGCTCAATTTCTTCCATATCCTTATGTTGCAAGGTAGTGTCATTAGCTATTTCAGGCTAACCTAAGACTTACTACCGTATCTAAATTTAGCTTGAAGCTTACAGAACGTCTTCTGTCTAATATAGGAACAACCTACTCTAGAGACAAGAAAGCACGGCAACTCAGTATTTCCTAAAATTATATAAATAGTTTGATAGTAGGACATGTATTCTATATTTGCAATAAGCATGTCAGATAGGACTAGACACTTAGCTGAGGTGATAGTATGAACACCCGAGGTATATTAGGGTGGTTTTGGCTTTCATGCTGTCTTTGTACGGAGGATGCAGACCAGCAGATACAGGCAGATTTACACCTGAATTCCTCTTCGTGAAGGCAGATTTGAGGTTACTACGAGGTTTTCCTAGTTCGACTATCAATTTCGAATATGTCCATCC